CTGACCGGTTGGTTCATTTGGTAGGCAATGGGTTCTACGCGTGGTGGGGTCATTTTTCCTATCCGCCCCGGGTGGCAAGCAAACGATTTAGCCAGGGCGCGCTCGCCAGGACGTGCTTCTGAATGATGCTGAGGCGGCCCGCCATGATGTTGCTTTTGCCGCGGAGGGTCACTTGGAGCCAGGAAAAGCTGCAGCGGTTTGCCGCGCACATCTTGCGAAAGAAGTTGCGCTGTCGCTATGCTGCGCCTGTATGGGACTCAAGGAGGTGTCCGTCTAAGCAGGTCATGCCCTGTTGGTTTGCATGTGAAAGGAACGCCTCATTTGACTTCCCAAGCATGCTGGGGAGGCCACAGAACTCACAGCACGCAGCTTGACTACCGGCTGGCCGGGGCCTCGTGCGCCAGGCTAACTGCTGAAAGCACGTCTTGCGATGGGAACCCGCCCAAGCAGAACTTCCTTTCCAATGTCCCCCCCCCCTCCGGGTTCTGAACAAAAAAAGGCTCAAACAACAAAGAGAACACTGGGAACATGCAGGTGCGCCATTGCCCATGAAGCCATTTGCCGCCGTGGCTTCGCCCTCGACCTTTTCTCGCAGCCAAGAGGCCATGTGCCAGCCTGCCAGTCTCTGGTCCGACCCTCGCCCCCCCCTTTCGTTCGGAACATGCAAGGTAACAAGTCCCGAACAGACCCGCTGGGCTAAGTCCACCATCCAGCCAGAATAAGTGTCAAACTCTCCCGGCCTTGGCTGAATGAAAAAGACGCCCACCAACGACTGTTTGTTTCAGTTTGCCAACTCAACTGGCAAGCACGGGCTTTGGGCAACTGGCTCGGCCTCAGTCCCCCAAGCTGGTTGCGAATGCGCCCTTGCCAAAGGGGCCTTTGACCCATGGTTATTGTTGGACTGTTGGACCGTAGTTGGAAGGATTAACTCGCAAAGGGCAACTTTGGCAGAAGGAACCTCTAATTTACGCCCCTGGGATTTCAGCCCAGGTCCCGCCACCGAAGGGGCCTCTGTTTTGCTTACGGTCGCTTCAAAGATCGGCACAAAAAGAAGACCCCCAAGAATGAACAAGACCAGGCGGCCCCCGTGTCTGCACAATGTAGGATTCACCGATCCCAAAGAGGGCTGTGCGGGGAATCGCAAAAATCTGACAAAGCCTCCGGTCTTTAATCCGCGCAAAGGGTGTCATTTTCGCAGGGTGGGTTCGGCCTATTGCGCGTTCCCATCGCTCGCGCAAGCGTGCTCGCGCGAGCTTGCTCGTGCGAGATTCCTCGTGCAAGTGCGCTTGTGCGAGTTTGGTGAGGCGAGCTTGCTCGTGCAAGTGTGCTCGTGCGAGCTTGCTCATGTAAGATGTCATCGCGCGAGTTGCTCGTGCAAGCTTGCTCGTGTAAGTGTGCTCGCGCGAGTTTGCTCGCGCCAGTTTGCTCAAGCGAGCTTGCTCGTGCAACTGTGTTCGCGCAGTTTTCGCTCGTGTAAGCGTGCTCGCGCGAGTTTGCTCGTGCGAGTTGCGCGTGCGAACTCGCTTGCGCGAGTTTGCTCGTGAGCTTGCCCGTGAAAGTTTGCCCGCGCGAGCTTGGTCGTGTAAGTGTGCTTGCGCGAGTTCGCTCGTGCAAGTTTGCTCGTGCAAGTCTGCTGGTGCGAGCTTCCTCTATGAGTGTGCTCAGGCGAAATTACTCGTGCAAGCGGGATCTTGCGAGTTTGCTCGTGCTGGTATGATCGCGCGAGATCGCTCGCGCGAGGTCGCTCGTTCGCGCGAGTTTGCTCGCGCGAGTTTGCCCGTGTGAGTTTGCTCGCGCGAGCTTGCTCGTGCAAGTGTGTTCGTGCGAGTTTGCTCGTGCAAGTGTGCTCGCGCGAGCTTGCTCGTGCCAGCTTGCTCGTGCGAGTTGCTCGTGCGAGCTTGCTCGTGCTTGCTCGTGCAAGTTTGCTCGTGCACGTGTGCTCGTGCAAGATTGCTCGCACGAGTTTGCTCGAGCAAGCTTGCTCGTGCAAGTGTGCTCGTGCCATCTTGGTCGCGCAAGTGTGCTCGCGCCAGTTTGCTCGCGCGCGACCTTGCTCGCGCGAGTTTGCTCGTGCGAACTTGCTCGTGCAAGTGTGCTCGCGCGAGCTTGCTCGTGCAAGTGTGCCTGCGCGAGTTTGCTCGTACAAGTGCGCTTGCTCGTGCAAATGTGTTCGCGCGAGCTCGTGCAAGCGTACTGGCGTGGCTTGCTCGTGCAAGTGTGCTTGCGCCGCGCAAGGGGGGGAGCCCTTCGCGATGCTTTCGGGAGGGAGAAAAAAAACAATAACGACCGTCTCGGGGCTTCGCCGCACCTCCCCTCTCGGCCGCTGCGCGGCACTCGTGAAGCGGCGATGGCTCCAAACAGGGCTCACTGCTGGCTACTTTGCTTTGCTTCGGCCACTCTTTGCTCATCATTCTCGTTCCTCATGGGTCACAGGAAATATTTGAAAAGGGTGGTCTAACGTTGCGGCTGCCGAGGTGTCGTGGTGGCACTGCTACTTGCGCCCAGGCTTTGTTGGAGGACTCCGGGTGTTGCGCGTCTTCTCGCTGGGCTTGATGCCGCCTTGGCTACCTCCTCTACAAAACGCCTCAGAAGCTGTAAGGGACGGGCGAGGATAAGCAGCAGCTGCAGCTGAGACCAATGCGTTTTGAGAGAGAAAACACCTTTGGGGCACCGTGCACCTTGTGCGGCACCTTCGGGAGCGAGCAATCAAAGCGATCTCTCAAAACCAACTGCTTCAAGAATGCCAGCACCACTTCAGAGCAACAGCGAATGCCCTCAACTCACCGTGGATGCCGGCAGTTGGCAGAAATATGATGAAATATGCTGGAAATACAGCAAGCACTCGCCGGTGCCTCATCCCCAAATGGCAGCCATCCGGAAGAAATGAAGAACGGCTCGATCCATTTGGTTGGGCGGCTGGCATGCTTTTCTGCGCGCATTCATCGGCCTTCGGCCCAGCACTGCAATCCGGCCAGGCCCCAACCTCCAACTCAAACTTCCGGCACTGCAATCCGGCTCTCTGCCACGGCGGAAATTTCACCTGCGAACCACAGAGGCTTCTGCTCAGCGTTCAGAGGTCCCAAAGCAAGAAAAGTCGGGCTTTCTGAACCAACTAAAAACTCCCATCAGCCCGAAACATCTGGAGCCATAGGAGGCACTGGTACCGGCCATCGTCTCACGTGGCCATGTCCTCCTCGGAGATGGCTTCTTCCTCACGCTCGCGCCGCTCGCTTGGCCTTCGCGTCACCTCCGACCTGGCGAACCGGGGCCCGGACCCCAGGACCTGCCAAGAGTGTGCTTGGTGGTAACCTGGGTGTGGGTCAAAAATAGGTACCCAGAAGGGAACCCTGGTAAATGGAAACATGGACCAAAACCTGCGGTCTTCTGATGGTTCAATTTTGACCCATGCCGGGTTCGGCGGCAGAAGTTGAAATAACGCGACTGCCCACAACAAGTTGAACCATCTGTCAGGACTCATCTTGCCCCCTGGCCAATGCACCTCCCATGTCTGTTCAAGGGGCTCCCGGTTTTGCGGTCTCGGTTTACCTCCCGAGATGCGTGAGACGGCTGTGGGCAACTGGGCTTCGGAAGATTCATCCACGGATGCAAGCTCCAGGCGATTTGGTTGGGCCTGAAGGCTCAAACCGCTCTTGCTTCCGCATTCTCATCTCAGCTTCCCTTCGACCAAGTGAGATCTAGTGACTCCTGTGCATTTGGATAAGTCCCGGCCCCGATTTCCTCCAAAGCAACCCACCGGCTGGAGCGCCTCCGCAGCAACCCAACCAGATCCTGGCAGAACGCGCAGATGGCTGGGCGGGGCCCCTTGAGTAAGTCCTGCAAACTGACATGGACGACAAGTGAATAATTTCGGGTTCCATTGTAATTTTTAGAAAGGCTCATCTGAGGGTGACAGCTGCGACCATCTCTAGCAACCATCAGCTGTCCACTGGAAAGGAATCAAGAAAGTCAGACTTGTGGCGAGTCAGCGGGGAAAATCATGAAAGCCGAAGATGAAAAGTGGGAACTGTCTTCCTGCGGACTTTTGGGATGTGATAGGAAGCGCGCTGCTACAAAATATCCCGGCGCATGGGTAAAACGTTTTGGACATTGACCCAGCCTCGGCGGCTTCGGGCCGATAAAAGTTGTCCATCACCTCCTCCTTGATCGCCTTGCGATTTGGGCCAACCCCACCACATGGGCATGCCACTGGTCTCTAAACCCGCTGTTCAAAACTTATCTCCTCTCTCTCTCTCTCTCTCTCTCTCCCTCTCTCTCTCCAGCATCCGCGATGTCTGGCTCGTCCCAGATGTTTTGTTCAGGTCCCCCTTTCTCAAATGCGGCTACAGCCGGGCTTTTCAAGAAAACGTGTGCAATTTGCAACCAGCCGTTCCCAGTACGAATAGACGCTTGCACGGCTAAGCCACGCCCTTTGCTGTGGCCGGCAGGGTCAGAGAAACAAGCACTTTCCACCTGGAACCTGACGCGCGAGCATGATGATGCGGTCTTTCCCTTTAGCGCGAGCAGCGGCCCGATTTGGCCTGGTGGTTGAATCTTGACCCACGCCCATTTCAGCCCGAGGCTCCCGTACGATGCGCAAGTGCCCCTGCTCGAAGCAGCAAATGCGCACTCGCATCGGATCCTCGGCGCGGGGCTGCCAGTTGGTCCTAGGAACCATCTCCGAGACTCCCCCGAACCTTAGATCCTCAGGACATCCTGGGATCTGTGCACATCCTCGGCAAATCACCCAACTCGCCCCAAAGACTTTGGTGCAAAGTTAGAAAGGGCTCCGGGAAAGGGAACGAACAATTGTCCTGTAGGCGAAGGGTGCGCAAAACAGCTCCAATTTGTCACCGCCCCCGATCAAACGCTGCATATCAAGTTGCCAACCACCTAAGGTTTGGGAAGCAATGCCTTGCTTGAGGCGAGTGTCCGCCGGGTGTGCAGTGAAATCCCGGTAGACGCTCCGGGCTGCCGCAACAGCGACCTGAGCTTCAAGCAAC